GAACAGAAATGGATGTGTTTAGTCTAAGGCCTTGGCAGTTGTCTACAGAATGTCATTTGTTCCCAACTATGTTTAAATGTGGGAATAGCAACAATGGAAACTTACATTCATCAAATTTAGCATTTAAAATATACATGACTACTGAAGTGGACGCTCAGAGGGCCCGCTGCTCGTCATACACCGTGGAGGCCGCCTGTGGACAGTGATCTCATTCACTCAAAGGGAACATAAGTTTCAAACATCTGAGTCGTCTGAGTTAAAAATAGGATGAAGGGGAAATAGGAGAACAGGAGACATGTCCTCCAGAGAGAGCAGGAGCTGTAGACGGTCTGGCCGCCAGAGTTTGTGACCAGGTGTGGGTGACAAAGCCTGGCCGACTCAGAGCAACGCAGCTTGTCCACGGGCAAGTGGGCTTATGGCGTGGACCACCGTTTCCACAACTTAGGAGGAAACCTTCTGTCCACAGTTAGTGAGAATAACTTCTAAAAATAGCCTCAGCCTCTGAACAGGATGTCTCCAGTCCCTTCCTGTGCATGGAAGTGTTAGGGCTGCAGTCTGAGTGCCCAGGAGGCCTCAGGACTTGAACACGTGGACGGCGCGCACCACGTACTGCCGGCAGATGGGACACTCGCTCATGCGCTTGCCGCACTTGGTGCAGGTGACCATGTGACCGCACTCAAGCAGGACGCAGTCGATGACGGCGTCCATGCAGATCCGGCACAGGCTGTCGTCCTCCTCGTCCTGCAGCTGCAGCCGCTCGCCATCTGGAAGGCAACGGAGAGCTGGGACTGCCGCACGGCCACCCGCCCACACCAGCCCAAGGCCACCGCCATCCGCCAGGGACAACAGCAGGCCCAACAGGACCTGGGGTTTGTGAAAGAAACAATCCCAACTTCTCTGCACTTAGTCCCCTCACCTAAAGAGGGCAATAATAATGCCTATACCTTTTAGGGTCTGGGAGGAATAAATGAGAAATGCTTGGCTTAATGCCACATAGGAAGTAGTCAAACATTAGCTATTTCTTAAATCTTTATGTAATTTAAGGTTTTCGTGATAAGGATCTATCGCTTCTATAAAAATGGACATGTTTAATCTAAGTCCGTAGGAAAAACAAAAGTAAGGAAACTGTAGGCTGCCCTACCCATGGGTTGTGGGGTCAGAATGCTATTGGAGTTTCCAGGTTTGACCTTGCCCCAGCTGTGGGACCGTGGGAGAGTCACAGTCTCCTGAGCCTCATCTCAGGAGTAAGAGCTTTTATTTCTACACTCAGAGGGGAGTTACGAAGAATCCTACAGCAAGTGGCTGGAGCTGGGAGAAGGCAGCCCCAAGCCTCCGAAGCATCTGGAGCGTTCTAACTGTGACTTCAAAGGGTGGGGCCAGCCAGGTTCTGAATAAGAAAGGGGATGATTGGTTTATAAAGTCAACTTCCATCTGAGATCTGGCATAGAGCTCTGGATATTGAGGCTTCCCTTTCTACGGCCCACAAAGGGGACCAATGGGAGTCATGAATATGGTTAGAATAACTCAAGCTTCGTGGGCCGGCAGTCTCTGGATTTAAGAGAAGTGAACACCTCACAGCTGGCCGTGTCAGGCCGTTGTGGCCCATGACTACTTCTTGGGGCCTGGGGAAGAAAGGGTCCACAGGATAGCTTGACAGGAGCCAATGGAGAAGACCCTAGGCGGCTCTTTAGATTAAACCAGAAATCTTGGCCTTGGTCTCCTTTCCTGTCTGGAGGGTTCCCTCCAACTCTTTACAACTTAGGAGCATAAAGCAGAGGAGCCAGACATCTGTCAAGACGATTAGGTGAGGCTATTTGGGTGAATCTTGGCAGAAGTCACTCGGAGCCAAAGTCAAGCCAGGAAAGATTTCAGCTGTGCTCAGTGTGTGTCCCACCTGAGCTTGAAGAGGGAACCAGGGTTCAGTTAAGCAGTGAATTAACACAGGATGGCACTTGTGAAATTAATGTCATGTGGCCTCTTGGAGGCTGGGAATGGCTATGCGTTACCACGGTGCACTGTGCCTGGCTGGCACTTACGTTTATTAAATAAACGATTCTGCCCCTCCCTGCCAGAATATCATTTCCTTACCACCAGCCTGAAGGCTCTGAGGATTTAGAGTCCTGTATGCACCACTGGGACATCATTTTAAAAACAGGTGCCAAAATACTTTTTGCCTATTCTGGGTATAAGCCTGTTTATCAACAAGTGCTGTGTTACAATCAGCTTTTAAAGAAAAAAAAAAAGTGATAAAAGTTAACGATGAGAGGACTATTTAGGCACATAAGATTTGTTGAACGCCACTGGATTCTTTTTTCTGGGTCATAAATGCTCTGTGGCTTGGCCCTGTCACCGGCTGAGGGAGGGTTTCTGCTCCAGGCTTCATCAGTGAATAGTTCTGAAGTTCCTGACCTCAGCTTTTCTGACTTACAAAGAAACCTACTGATAATTGTTGCTAAGAACTACTTCACATCTTGGCTGTAGGGATTTTCCCCCCACTGTTAGGATCTGAAAGTAACACCTGAGATAACCTAAGCACTGGCCTGCCAGAGGGGTTAATGAGAACACAAGCATTTTTCTAGAGACGAGGAATTTCAGTAGGGCTCTAACAAATAGTTAATTATGGCAAGGAAAACCAGATGGAACAAAGTCTCTGACTCGGGGTGGTGGTCTGAAAGCCAACATCAGTAATTAACTTACAGCCCAGCTTTTAAAAGCCTAAGGAAGGATACTGTAGGGGAAAAAAGAAACATACATGACTTTTGGTTTTCTTCATTCTCTTTGTATAATCTGTTTACTTTCTCTACCAGCTCCCATTTTTCACAACAGCCAGAATAGTTCACAAAATTCCGAGCCAGAATCTCCTTCAGCTGGCGCACGCTCATCCCTTCAACATCTTCGAGGCTCGACAGGTCAGACAAAGACGCTCTTGCTCTCTTTCTGGAGAGCCCTGGGGTCTGAAATTACAGATGGTTTCCGTTATCTCTGTTCCTACAAGTCCAGACCTCCCACAGCAAGTTCAGGGGCCTGCTCCCCTCACTCTAGTCTGTCGCTGGCCTCAGACACTCTTCCCAGACTTCTTTCTCGTAAGTCCTTGAGGTGTTACAAGGTCCTGAATCAAACCAGGACGAACAGCCTGAGCTGTCCAGCTAAATGTCCACACAGGCACCTTCCCTTCCTGCCAGGCTGACATGTCAGGGAAACCATATCTCACAGGCAGTCTTACCCGCTCATCTAAGTCGTCATCATCGTCGTCATCATCTTCGTCATCTTCGTCATCCTCGGTATTTGCTGAAGCTAGTTCACTTTGCACCTACATACACAATGTATATGATTAGGATAAGAATCCTATTTTCCAAACACTGTCAACTCATATTTACCACCAGAGAAGGCCTTTCCATAAGTCCTCCCCAAGATGACCCCAACACCTGTCATCTTCTGTGGAGAATGCTGCTACCCCTCCCCAAGAGTTGGACCCCATGTGATTTCATAAAGAGCTTACTTTCCAAGTTACCTCAAAAGCCAACTTACGTGTGTGTGTCAATGTGTAGAACCTAACCAAAGTATTAACTCCCTGAGGAAGCTCCCATCATGAAATGCCAAAGCCATAAGCATATGTCTACCACTGGGATAGCACTGCCTCATTGTCAGAGGCCCTGCAGGTGACTGGTTTGACTGGAGCCTCGAGGATGGAGACAGAAAGAAACTAAAGCTCCGACTGGTATCAGCCAAGTGTGAGGGGCATCTGATTTGAAAGATCTCAATCCTACTACATCGTGAGTAGACATTCTAATTTCCAAGAACGCTTTCTAGACGTCTTCACTGGTGGCTGATGCTAACTGAAGTTTTTAAAAATTCCTCAACAATCAGAGGTATTCTCCTTTAGGAAGAGGAGACAGTCCTTAGACTTGGATTATGTACCTTCTTTCACGTCTTTCCTTTTGGCTATGTTTTGACCATAACTCTACAATAGTCTAGGTCACATCCCAGGTGTGAATATTCTGCTCCATTGATTCAGAAGCATTCACACTGTAGCACCCGAGCCACCTCCCAAATGGTGTCTTCTCGGTAGATGGCAAAAAAGTCAGATGTGTCAATTCTCATTTGGGAAAACAATAAAACTCCCACCTAGACTTACCTAATTTATGGTTATTTGGAAGGTAACTAGGCTAAATTTCCCTCTGCTTTTAATAAACCCTTACACGTGGGATCGGTCACCATGAGTTGGAATTGACTAAATGACAGCTGGTTTTTTTTTTTTTTTTTTTAATTCAGGGAAGGGAATTAAATGTGGAAGAATTGTTAAAAAATAATTCGGCCCCTTAGACTCACTCCTGTATACAAATGAATATTAATTACAAGCCGTTGCAGGTCGTTTAGTCAGGATGCCCAAGGCCCTACTGGGACAATACTCTGCACTGGCATTTCTTGGAAATCAGTGAATAACCTGCATTTTCACTAATTCCAATGGTTCGTTCCCATAATCTAAATTAGAACAATGTTAATGGTAGTAAGGCAACCGGGCACTGATACTTATACAAGTATCCTACCAAATGTTTGTAGTCTGCTTTTCAGTCATTACTTCAGTAGTTCGTGTTATTTTAACATATGTTAAAGAGCTTGGCTGCTAACCAAAAGGTCGGCAGTTGGAATCCACCAGGCGCTCCTTGGAAACCCTATGGGCAGTTCTGCTGTGTCCTATAGGGTCACTGTGAGTCGGAATCGACGCGCCAGCAACAGGTTTGGTTTCAGGTTTTTGGTTATGTTAACAGCCCCAATAAATAGTAGCTGGGGACAAATGCTATCCTATATAAGATACGGAAACTGAGGTAACTAAGGCCAAAGGATCCATGAGCTATTTGTGGACCCTTCAGACAGCCCCAACTACTGAGACTTGCCATCAGGAGAGCCTGCACGTGCGTGTTCGGCAGGTGTGGAACCTCTGTTCCCGCACGTGCTGCTCCTTTATCTGGGGTCATGAAGCCCTGAAGGCTGCACTGTCTGTGGCAGTCAGCACGCCAGGCCCGCGGTGCAGTCACTCCCCTGTACCTGTGCCAGCGCTCCAGGCCCTGAGGTCCGGTCTCCATCCATAAGCTCTCCCTGAAATGAAGACATGGTAGCAGAGGGGGCTGTATAGTTTGAAAAAAACGAACGTGTAAAAAAGCTAGAAGTCTGGGACCTTGAAGAATTCAGACTGCTTGTGTCCATGTCCTCCTCGGAGCCGAGTCCATGATGGCACAGTACCAGATCTACCAAGTCTTCTTTCTCTCGACACGTATCTGTTGGTATGTCTCTGAGGAAGAGATACTGCCGTAGGTCTTTCACCTTCAGCCGCATTAGCTGAGGCCGCTGAAAGGCCGTCTCTTGTAGTAAGTGACATGTAGAGCATCGGCGGAGATTTTCTTGTAGGACCGAACAAACGGAGCAAAAATCTTTCTTGCAGTCACAACATACATGCTGCAAGAAACAGAAAAGAAGCATTTAATGAAAGTCAGATAGCAACAGTTAGGAAAGCACTAGTTTTCTTCTTGCCTTCTACTAAAATCTGAGTTCTCCTGAAGCCCCCTGTGGCACCGGACTATTTCCACAGTTGCTTTAGTGTTGCAAAAGCCAGGAAAATCACAACAGTCGCTGCTGAGGTAGTTTGGGTTCACAGAAGTTCAAACACAGCACTTTAAGAAAAACATACACTCTTGTGTTAATAAATTAAAAGCTTTCCACCCCCTGATGCAAACATGTAATTAGCAGAACAGAGCTGACTCTTGAACCACACTGAGCTCTGCCTATGTCAACAGTGTTTCCCAGTTAAAGAAGAGGAAGAAACAACCATGACAGAGGGAAAGAGAAGGGCAGCTGATACCTCAAGGTCAATCCAAGAACACGGAGGACCCCATTAACACAGTTGTCCGCACCCTACGTAGCCTTACAGCCAGAGCCAGTCCACCCATGAGGCTTATGGACCAAGAGATGCGGTCACTTCTGCTTCAGGCATTGTTCCCACAAGGCTAACACTTTTTTCCTTAAGTATCTCAGAAGGAATGAATTGATGATCAAAGTTTGCAACTATTTCCCGGTGAAAGTAACTGTTTTAACCTAAGTATTTTATGTTGACTCTATAAACAGTATTTATCTTATTGTACTCATTGCTTCATTTGAGAGTTAAGAATGTGGTTAGGGATAAATTTTTTCAAACTTGAGATCCAAGTTACACTAAAGCATCTCTGAACTAAACAGACTAAGTAAATCTCTTGCTTCAAAAAATAAGCATCATCAAATTAACAGCAACTCGAAAGGTTCGACAGGAACCTCGGGGCAGTAAGTTCATGTTCATGGGGGGGATCAACTCAGAAAAGGACGGTGAGAATGTAATCAATGTCACTGAATTGCACATGTGGAAATTGTTGAATTGGTGTATGTTTTGCTGTGTATATTCTCTACAACAGCAACAACAACAAAATCATCAGGAAGAATCACATGGTAAAAACTGGCCAGAGTTCAGAAGAAAGGATGCCTGATGGAACACTGTCCCATCAGAATATAGTCCCTTCAACTGAGTACTTTTCTAAATGGGAAAGGGTTAATGGGACTATACTTGTGATGTTTTTATAAAAAGAAATGAAGATTCATTAGCTATTCAAAACAACCTTACAATCGCTAACTGTGACCCAGGCGTCTTCAGTATGTAACGTTATCTCATCCAACTCACCTTCTTTCTGAAGACGGAAAAGGAGAGTCCACAGGCTTTGCAAACGATATCAGGCCCTTCCGTGGCTGCTGGTGGGTAGGAGAAATCAGGGTTTGGTGTAAATCTGAATGGACCAGTGCCTCCTGCAAATCCTGCCTGCTGGCCTCTGACAGCTCCAGTTCCCATGACTTCATTCAGCAGCCCACAGCATGAAGCCCACATGGATGTGGCGCCTGCCTGAAGAGGAACACAAGCAGGAACCACAGCTTAAACCTCAGTGAATCCTGGGCTCTCTGATCTACAGGGGCTGCCATTCTGGAGAGATACATTTGCCCTAAATACAACCTGATCCCAATTTTGTAAAAAAACACACACAGACACAAACAAGAGCATAGAAAAAGCAACTGGATACAACAAGTATGTCTCATGCAATATTTGGGATATGCATATACTAAAAACTTGTTTGTTGTTTCTTTGAAATTCAAATCTAACTGGATGTCCTGTGTTTTATGTGACAGCCTTAGGCTGGTGGTTACCATACAGCATAGCTCTAGAGCCTGGGCCGAATTCTCCCAGCTGTCACTTAGCAGAAAGAACAGAAATTCAAATTATTTCTTAATTTCATTCAACTTCTGTTCTCTCTCATTCATAGCTGGGTGTTATAAACTATGGTGTATATAAATACAAATAAGAATTTTATTATAAAAAATGAGTAAACATCAAAATACCAACTGAAACTATCTCTAGATTTCTTTCCCCCCCCTTTTTTTTTGGCCTTTTATGTGTAGTTTATTTTCTTGAGTTTTTCTCTACTTTCTAAATTCTTTACAAAGAATATATAAATTTGACATTAAGGAAAAATTTAAAAAGGAATTATCCTTCCTTTTCAAACTGAAAATAATATGTAACTTTTGATGATTTAGTACCAGGATGACCTCCCAAGGGGTGAGAGCCATTTGCCACTCCACTAACTGGCCCCAGAACTAATGGACTGCTTTGTTTTCTCTGTCTCTTCCGTGTCTGTGAACCAGTACTACTATCACTATACTTACCTGTGGCAACCTGTCTCTTTTTCCTGCAGACTCAGAAACTCAATAACCAAACTTGTTAGAAGTACGTATGAAAGAATTAACTTTCAGTGGGGACCAGGGCATTTTCCCGTGCTTAAAGTATAAAAGCTATAATGTTTGGAACCAAGAGGCTTTTGCCCCTTGTACTAATTCCTAAGCATAGTCTGCAGTCTAGATAATGGGATAGATATGGAAGTCCAGATAGGTGAGCTGTCATCAGTTAAAATGGCAGTATGTGACCGTAAGGCAGTTGATGGATTTTATTATGTGACTCCATCAAAACATTTACTGTTTACAGCCCGACAAGTTCCTGAACAAGCTTCAGAGGCTCTTTGGAATGCTGAAGAAGGATGACGCTATTCTTGCTACTACCCACAAGTATATGTTATATTAAGTATAGAGAAAGGAGAAGGTAAAGCAGTAAGAAACCACAGTACAAGGTTCAAACCGTCTTAAGTGCCGGGGTCACTGATAGAAATATTATATGGTGTTACACCCTGTAATTCTCAAGATAATAGTGATGCCTTTAAAATTCAGGTAAAGTTAATAGTTCATCTTACAAAAGCAACTTTCCTTTACATGAGTATATACTCAGACTCTAGAACAAGGTTTTGCTGAAAGCGAACCTGCTACATGAAAACCTCAATTTACTAATAGTTAATTTGAGGTAATTGTTCTTTTACCAAAAGATTCATCCACCGTCCTGTTTAAAGGGAATTCTCTTAAAACGACCAAAAACATTGGCTTTGAAAAATTCAATTTGCGCATAACTTTTCTTTTCTTTGGGGGGGGACACCTCACCTGTAGAAAGTACCACGAGGACAGACTTCTTCATTCAAGGAGCCTGAAGCCCTGAGGTTGGAGGAGCTTGAGTTTCCTGCTCACCTAGCCACTGAGCACTCAGACAACTGCGTTAGCTTTGTCCCCGTCTGACGTCGTGTGACGTTTGTCCCGTCGTGGAGGCAAACTTCCGTATTTCATCTGGTGTGGTCACCATACCACTGACAAATGAGTAACTGTGTGAAAGCTTTCTCTATGTCACCGCCTTAAAGGCAGTTTAACACTATTTAGATTTTACATGCTACTTAGAAAGTTCAACTTGTGTGTTACTGGAAAAGAATAATTAAGGTAAAAATAATTGACCCGGCAGGCCCCAAATCTCAAACAGTACTCCCTTTAAAAACAGCACTGCACACACTGCCCTTTCTACCAGAGTCAGAAATCAGTTTCACGATGATTGTGAAGGCAGGATACACATTTTGAAACCGTGGTAATGATTATCATCATCACAAGTCTAGGCTGAAAGGTATCTTCTTCAACCACAGCTCTGGTGGTGAAGGGCACAGAAGGATTTATTTTGTGGAAATAGGTGGAATCTCTGTGTTGACATCAACAATGGAGGGTTAAGAATTTTGCCCCACTCCTCATGTTTCTCTAAAACCAAAAACCAAACTTGTCCGTCAAGTCTGACTCACAGCAACCCTCTAGGACAGAGTAGAACTGCCCCACAGGGTTTCCAAGCCTGTCATCTTTACGAAAGTAGACTGCCACATCTTTCTCCCGAGGAGCAGCTGGTGGGTTCAAACTGCCGACCTTTTGGCTAGTAGCTGAGCGCTTAACCACTGTGCCACCAGGGCTCCTGTTTCTATAAAAAGTAGTGGGGTGGGGGGGCGGTTCCTCTTTGTTCTCCAGAAGGGAAAATAATGAAAAGAACATTTCTTCTTTCTGCCCTCTCATTATCAAAAAACAAAAACAAACTAAAAAATGCAGACTCCTCGATCAGGCAGTTCTACTAGAGGAATCTTCCCTATAGAAATGTTCCTAAAAGTTAGCACCAACTTGACACTAAAGTCAAATTAGAACAACACCAGAAGGAAACTGCAGGCCAATCTGACTTACCAACCTAGATGCAAACATTAACAAACCAACGGTGACTGCAAATGATAATCGAACAAGTAGGATTTATCCCAGAAATGCGAGTATATTGGTTATAGTTCTTAACTAAACAAAACAAAAAAAAACCCAAGCTACCTTCCAGAACAACAGAATGTTGCTATAACCCAATACTAGGTACAATCCAGACACATATTGTTGTCAGCCAAAAACCATAGCAGAGGGGAAGGGAAAAACGAAATATCTAGGTTTCAGCCTTGCTAGATCTGTGAGGAGCCCTGGTGGCGCAATGGCAAAGCGCTCGGCTGCTACCGGAAGGGTTAGCAGTTTGAATCCACCAGTCTGTGGGAGAAAGACCTGGCAATCTGCTCCTGAAAAGACTGCAGCCTAGGAAACCCTGCGGGGCAGTTCTACTCTGTCACATGGGGTCGCTATGAGTCAGACTCAGTCGACTCCATGGCATGCAACAACAGGATCCGTGAATTTAAATTTGGACAAAATCTCCCGAGAAGAGAATAAATCCTCCTCGCAGCATGCTGGGGGTGAGTCCACCCATGTTATCCTGAGAGTAGCATCTGCAACACTCCAGCTCTCTTGAAAATTTACAGATCTGCAACAGTGAAAGCCCCAGTCACCAGCTTTACTTGAAGTACCTATCTTTCCCATCCGGTGTATTTTAAAAACTTAATTTCCGTTTCACTTCCCCAGTGCAGAAATGAAAGTGAACTCTTTGGTGTGTGCACCTCCCCAAGCTCTTTGGAGCAGGTATGTTTAGTTCTGTGCCACAGTGACCACTGTACTGCCTCTTGCTAAGAAACTGCCTTTAAGGAGTGGTTCCCAACCCTAACTGCTGGCTGGACTCATCAGGGGAGCCATAGAAAATACTGATACCTGGGCCCACTCCCACAGATGCTGATTTCACTGGTCCAGAGTAAAGCCTGAGCATCAGAATGTTTTAACCTCCCCCCCACCCCAGGTGATTCTAATGCGCAGCCATGGCTAAGAACCCCTGCTCAGTCTAAGACTTCTGTTTCCTTCTGACGCTGTTGGAGCTGGAGACTCAGCAGATTCCTGAAGGGAAGGAGCTGTGGTTATTTTTGAAGCCTCCAGAGTTCCAGGACCAACGCTTTCGCCATGTGCTCCTTAAGATCCGTCCAGATTTTCTTCCTCCAGTAGTGGGATATGCCTCTAGTGTTTCATTTCCCTCTATAGCTTCCCCTAATCCTTTCAAAAGCTTTGCCTGGCTGAATTTTAACAATTTAATCTGATCCTTAAATTAGTTCCTTTCCTTTTCACCACATACTGGTCTGGAACTGTCTGCTGGAATTTGGTGCCTTCCTTCATTTTATTTGCTCTTTTGCCTAAGCTTTTTTTCCCCTAACTTGCTCCTCTAAATAAATGTTTTCTTGTCGAGAACCTCCAATACTGAGAGCAAGTCAGTAATTTCTAGGTCTGTCAGTAGCAGCCATCACTCACACTCTTTTTGTCCTTCACCTGCAAGGTGAGGAATCCCACCCAGAAGACGGATCTTCCCAGGCTTGAGCTCCATCTACCTGGCTCTCCTTTCGTCCATTTTATCTTCCTGCACTTTCCCTTAAAGTCCCAATTTCATAAATTTCTTCTTCATGTCCCCTGAAGGCACAGGTATCCCTATGTACAACTGTCACCTGACATGCACTAATAATGCTTGAAGTGTTCTCTACCGATCTTCCCCCTCTCAAATCTGTTGGAATTGTCTGTAACTACTTGATATAATGGTCCCAGTTTTCAAGCGACAGAATCTAGAAAAGCAATTAGGGAACTATTTAAGAGAGTGTTTTCCAACAGTTCATTGGATCTGGGCTCTCAAAGTGTGTGTGGGGTGAGGCGGACATGCCAGTTTATTCTCTGGGCTGTCGACTTTCTTGGAGCCATTACTTTCTCTTATCTGAAAGGGTAATAACCAAAAACTTCTCTTTTTGCATTCTCCCTTTCAAAGTTTTAGAGACTTAAGTTCATTCTCATTTGTCTTTCCCGCGCTCTCGGAACTTGCGCAGCCCCAGCAGCCAGTGCTCCTTTACTTTTATTCATCACCACTCCCGCTTTGACAGTAAGACGGAAGCATTATTTTCCAAGCCATTCCATTTCCAGATTTTCTGAGCAAACCCAAGTCCTAGGCAGACAGCATACCAGACACAGCCTTTTAGCTTGTGAATTTGTAGTAAATTCACTGAGTTGTTTCTCTGCCTCCATTCCAAAAAGGTGTACTCCTTATATAAGGGTCCCCATTCATCT